GTAAACAGTGTTTTCATTATAGAAATAAAGTCTTCTATTGTCTTTTTTAAAATTTCTTTGGATGCTTTTTAGCTTAGAAGCTTTCCCTTCCCCCAATATAAATTTTCCCCAACTCTGAAACCGTAGAAAACACGAAGAAGAAAATGAAGCCCTTTCTGGTCCTTCATCCAAAATAACCCGAGTAAACAGGGTGGAGTTGCACTCGATACATTATTTTATTTCGTGTACTTCGTGATCCACACCCCAAGTCGGCACTGCCATCTGCCTTGTACACTTACCCGCGTGTTCCAAACGTGTACCAACAGTCGTGCTGCAGGCCCCATGGGCTCAGAAATGCACTCAATGTCATTTTTGTTAAAAGGACCCTGACCGGGCGTGGGGACCGTCCTTGGGTGTTCCTCGGCGATGCCGCTCCCCGCCAGCCGCACTGCGGAGCTACGATTTCTCCCTGTATCAGGGGAGCGTTTAAGAGGCCTGGCAGCACAGAGGGCCGCTTGGCGCTCTCACATTTCAGCTGTCTTATCTGTGCTCCGGCAAGAGCCGATTATCAGGCCGCGGAAACCGAGCTTTCCGGCGAGGGCCTTTGCTAGCGTCCCGCGGTTCCGGTGAGGTGAGAGCGCTCTGCTCCCGGTGACCAGTGCGTTGATGACAAGGTTGGCGCTTGCTTATGAACATCGAGGGGCCGGCCCGGCTCTGTCCCAGGAGGGCCCGCACATTTCCTTCCTTCCTTTCACATGTGCCCCTTCTCCCCCCACGGGTGAGTCCCACTTCACATTCAGAGCGCCGACTCGCTGGAGCCACTTAAACGCAGGTCCCTCCGCGGAAACCTCCTAATGTCTTCAGATGGCAGGATTTCCGAAAACGTCATCTTAAGAGATTCCCCTCAAACCACCAGTCATTTAAGAACAGAAAAGGGCAATGAGAGGTTTTTTTTCCCCCCTGGGTTCCCTAAAAAGGAAAAGAAAACTGGGTGGAGTTCACCATAAAACTGCGGCGAGGCCTTTAAGGAGGGTTTGAGGTCAGGTCGTCTGCTTTGGAAATTAATTGGTTTCTCTGCCTGGACAGTGACATCATTTCAAGTCTTAGATTAGTCCTTCACTGTGCCAGCACCCAAAGTGCTTCTGTCACTCTTTTCTGCCCAGCGGGGCACGCGGAAGCAGGGCCGGACGGACGTGAGTTTCGACCCTCACTCTGGTGCAAGGAATCCTGGCGTTCGCCCGACTTTGGCCCTGACATTGGCTGAGGTGGACAGTAAAACAAAATTCTGACTTACAGCCCGAGTGTCGGGTGTTGAGGCGGAAATGTGAGAAGAGGCAGTTTTCTTTCACCCCTTCGCTGGACACTGGTCGGCCCTCCCTTTCCTGTCTCCCTCGTTCTTTATGTCACTCCCTTATTTTGTTTGCTGATAAGTCACACCTCTGGAACGCTTCCTGCGTGCCACAGTGACTTGGAAGCATGTCACCCTCGCAGCCCTGTGAGGCAGGGACTGCACTTGTCCCCAGTTTACAGGAAGAAGGAGGAGGCATAGAGTGAGTTGCCCGGAGTGGGGCCGAGATTCTCGCCCCAGCAGCCCGGTTCCAAACTCTTGCTCTGAACTGTCACACCCTGGGTGATCGGCTCTGTCCTAGGCTGTTCCTTCCAAGGCCACCAGCGGTGTCTCGCCTGCCCCTGACCCAGAGGATGTCACCGTGCTTGAGTATGTTGATGGCTTTTGGGCTTGGCGGCTTTAGTACCACTTTGAACTTGGTCTGTCTTATAAATGACATGTTAGTTCAGAAGCAGCTGGGTCGACCCTCAAGTTCAGTTGATTTTGTTTACTACGCTTTTAAAATCCATTGTAATGTAAGACAGGTTTATTTATCTTGAAACCCTATTTCACAAGTACTATGAATGGTAGTGTGTTTCAACTCCAGAGAGCCTGTGAATTTTACCTAATTGTTTTCTGCTTGCGGTTTGATTGGACTTACTTCTTCACGAGGGAATGGCAGGAAAACTTTGTGTGGCTCGTGGAAAGTGATGAGACTCTTGCCTGGAAATGTCTGGAAGGGAGAGACAGAAATTGTCTGCCCGCGTGTGCGCACAGATACACGTGTACAGTCTTTCGGTCACTGATGCCACGCAGGTAGGCAGTGTCTCCTGACCTCTCCGCCGTGCCCAGCCCTGAAACCAGTTACGTTTGCAGAGCACTGTGACTGCCCCACGGAAATCGTTTCTACACGAAGGGAGGAGTCGGGCTCCTTGGCCGGGATGGCAGTCCTCTCAGCCCTTCCTGTCATCACCGACTTCCTGAGGCGGGGAAGTTGCCCTCCTCCCCATGTGACCACATCAGAAGACTGTGTCTCGTTTCTTACACTTTCTAGGTAGGTTGTGGTTCACTCTCATTTTGTTTTCCCGCTTTGACTTTTATTGGTATGTATTTTATGCTGAACTCACTCCCGGGCCGTCAGTTTTTGTGGCCTCAGTTCCGTCTGGGGCGCCTGTTTCTTCTGGGCTCGGAACGAGCTGCCCTTTCTCAGTGGGGGCCCCTCGGGGGGGCCGGGAGAGCTCCTGTGTGCGGGTCAGTCCGCCCGCCAGCTCCATAGGTTCTGCGCCGCATCTTGGGAGCTCAGTTCGCTGGGACGGGCTCCAGGACCAGAGGCTCTAAGACCCTTAAGTTCAGCGTTACTCTCTGCGTTCATAAGCACGCATAGCAACAATTCAGCGTTGTTTTGGGGCCTCTGCCCCTGCGTCCAGCCCCGCCGTTTGGCCCCGGGCACACCTGCCAACCCCACCACTGCAAGAGCGGGAGGGCACACATTTCTTCCGTCAAGTGACATCCTTCAGGGCTTGGTGGCTTTTCTGATATGCATGCCCTGGATGGCCCAGGCCATTTCACCTGTGTGTGTTTTTTTAGTGAGTACGAAGGTTTGAACCTCTGGATTTGCATAACTTTGTAAGGGCGTCTGGGTCGAGTGACTAGTGAACCGTGTTCAGAGGGCACCTGTGGCCACTCCAAGGAAGAACTCACTTTCACTGTTCAGTGCACTTGTCTCTGTAAGGGAGGGCTTGGCTTCTCTTTCAGTTAATTGCCCATCCTGCCTGGGTGATCCAACACGCTTTTCTCCAGGGGCATAGTCTTCATGAAAATGCAGAGTGTGCAGCTGTGCCGTCGTCATCTGCTGTCCCACGGGGCTCCGTGTGTGCCGGATTCTTTGTTACAACGTCCCACAAGTGACGGATGGATGGCTACAGTTAAAACCCGTCGGCGTTAAGGGGAAACATCACACCTACTGTATGGCATCCGTTCTGAGATGCGCCTTTTTTTTTTTTTTTCTTTTCACACTTTAACATGTCTGAGCCCTTGGGTGCCTGTCTCAGATGCTGGCGTCATGTGGTTGTGACTGGCGATTGTTACTGGTACACAAAACGGTGGTGCAGCTTACAGCAGGCATCCTGGATTTGATGGAAAATGATACATGTACGTTCAGTTCTTGGACACTTGGAGACGTGTGCTTGACACAAATCCTTGTGGATTTTCCCCTCTGCTTGAATGCAACAAGCATAAAGTCATTTTCTATTCTTTGTATTTGGGCTAAGAAGAGAGTTAAAAGCCAGTGGTAGTAGCTTTTTTTCAGTGTAGATTGTTTTTAAAATGACAAAAGCAATATGTATGCTTTAGAAATTCAGTTTTGCAAGATGACGAAACTTGGGCAGAATGGATGATGGTGGTGGTTGCAGAATAATGTGAATGTGCCTTGATGCCACTGAACTTGATACTTAAAAAAACGGTTAAAACGGTGAACTTCAAGCTTTCTGTGTTTTATCACAATTCGTTTTTTTTTTCCAGGAAGTAATAAGCATATAACAATCGCGCTCACTGTAGAGACAGACAGAATAAAAAGTGAAAGTCACCTCTCGCCTGCTCCTCCCCACCCCCCACTTGGTATTGATTCCCCAGAGGTGGGGTACATGTTTTCAGATAGTCTCTCAGACCTTCCAGGAGAGTCTGGCCTTGACCCTGCACGTCACTTGTCACTATAATAAATCCCATGGTGAGGGCCCTGCCTCGGAGCTGTGCCTTTTCGATCTCCCTGAGGCTAAATTTACTAATTGAGTCATCCTCTGTGAGATGTCTTTCCTAGAAGTCGTCTCTACACATGCATGTTTGTAGCTGGACTATTTCAGCTCTTAATACGCAGCGTAAGGGAAGGGGAAGGAAGAGCGGGACTCCGGGGCCTTCCACCCTCGGAGAGGCAGGACTTTGTGCCTTCTGACTGATCACCATTTCCCCTGTCTGTGGGGCGGGCAGGCCCTGCCCTGGGGGTGCACACACCTAGTGCTTCATCTCCCTTCTGCTTTAGAGCGGGAAGACCCCCGTCTCGGGGGCGAAGCGTCTGGCAGGCCCCGCAGTGTGCCCCCATTGACACCGCCCTGCCCTGCGCTCTGGGCCTGTGGGGCCAGTTCGCACTCATGGTTCTCATGCCTCTCGGTGCTGCGAGCCTTTCCTTCAGAGCCTGGTCTCCACGGATGGCAGTGTGTACGTCCATCTGTGAGACCGTTTGATGAGTGTCTGTCTGTCCCCACGCCGCCGCATGGGTCGAGCCGCCTCTGTCTGGCCCAGCACACACTCGGTGCAGAGCGAGCGTTCAAAGAAAGTGTCGAGTGAACAACTTGTTTAATAGAGTGGAGGAGTGTGTGGCTAGGGAGCGAGCAGTGACAGTGAATATTTAGACCTCGGTGGCCTGGCAGCTTGGTTTTCAGCCACAGCTGAAACTTCTCCTGACGCCATTAGAACGCTTTACCCTTCTTTTGGGTTGGGGTTCTTTTCAAACGACTGTGGAGTGTGGAATATCCAGTGCCACGGGGGCTTCCGCGGAGGGGCAGCCAGCCGACCCAGCAGCTCCCTGTCAGTTTCCTGTGAACTGCACGGCGGGCAGCTCACCAGGAGCAGGCCCGCGGGTTCCTGGAGACAAGGCGTTGGGCCCAGACCGTGCTCTCACTGCATTTTGTTTCCATTCCAGAACGTGGTCCAAGACAATTCCTGGGAAAGTTGAATTCTTCTCCAGCGAGGGCTCGGACACGTCCATCCCCATCCCCATAGTGCCACTGCGGGGCGTGGACGACTCCTACCCGCCCCAGAAGAAGTCCTTCATGATGCTCAAGTACATGCATGACCACTATCTGGACAAGTACGAATGGTTCATGAGAGCGGACGACGACGTGTACATCAAAGGGGACCGGCTGGAGAATTTCCTGAGGAGCCTGAACAGCAGCGAACCCCTCTTCCTCGGGCAGACGGGCCTGGGCACCACGGAGGAGATGGGGAAGCTGGCCCTGGAGCCCGGGGAGAACTTCTGCATGGGGGGGCCCGGAGTGATCATGAGCCGGGAGGTGCTCCGCAGGATGGTCCCGCACATCGGGAAGTGTCTGCGCGAGATGTACACCACCCACGAGGACGTCGAGGTGGGCAGGTGCGTCCGCCGGTTCGCCGGGGTGCAGTGCGTCTGGTCCTACGAGGTAAGAACGCCAAACAGGTCTTGTCCGTGTTGCCCTTGTTCTGAGCCAATCACGGGGGACACTAGCAATCCTGTCCTGAAGTGCTTTTACATCTTGATCTTCTTCTTTTTTTTTAGAAATTTGCATTCCCTCTTGTTAACCATGTCTCTTTGGTTTTTAGAGCATACCTTCTGTACGTTTGTCCCAATTCCTTAGTTAAGAAGTGGGTGGCATTTGGGGGCCCCAAGAAAAGGTGGTTTGCCACAGCTGGGCTGTTTTCTTAGTGACCCAAGAAGATCCGTCCCAACTCTTCTACTGAGTCCGCAGATGGGATTGCAACAGTGTGTGTGTGTTTGGAGTTGGGGGGGTGGTGCTTGCCCTGGCTCTGTCCCCCCAAAGACCAGCTGTTCTCTGGTCGTGTTGACCTGCACAGCTTAGAAGCCTCTGTGATTCAAGTTCATGAAATGAGTAATGGTGTAGAAAGCCAAGAGCGTGGGTCTCCACGTTGATTTCAAACGTTGGCTCTGTAGGCAGAGATGGTAATCTGGGAGTCTGCAGCGTTGCTAGCCGCTCCTCTCGGAATAGGCGGCAGGCGGCTGCGGAGTTACCTTGACACAGGAGACGCGGTGTTTGGAAGGAGGCGTCCTTGCAGCTGTTTTCTCTTCAGCCGCGCTCGAGGGTCTGAGTTGGCCTGCTCTGTTTTTGTTGGCAAATGCACACACCCTCCTGCCTGCGCTCCCAGGATCTGATATTAGTCAGCGTGGAAAAACGACTTAGGCTGTGTTGTGTTCAGAGGGACAAACCACAGACAGTCGTCAGGGACAGAGGGACTTGCTAGACCTTTCCTCCAAGAAAAAGCAACACACTTTCTGATATAAGTTAGCTTTTCTTCCGACTTTATTTTCCGAAGTGCTTCGGGTGAAGCGGTTACATTCTTGCCTGTGCTTGTCTTCCCCCCCCACCCCCAGGCTTGCTTTTAAATGTCTCCACATTGCTGTGTTTCTTTCTTCTGAACTTTTAGGGAAGTGGACGTTTTCAAGTACACAGGAAGTAGCCTTCACGTCATTTCTAATTATAAAAGACACGTTTTAAATCTCTGTGTGCCCGCTTCTCCCCACCCCACCCCCACACGGTTGATGGAGGGCTTGGTGGACCTGGGGGCAGGGTCTCTGCTGCCATGGACATTTGCAGCAGGGAAGGCTGTCGGGGGCACCGCATGCAGCTTTCAGCAGAATGCAGCTGCCAGTGCTTGGGCATGTCCCCATCCTTGATGAACTTAGCCTGGTTCTTAGGGGCAAAATATGTAACTTTGGGGTGCCTGCTGCACCCCTGGTCTCTGAGAAGCTGGCATTCCTGCTGGACTTGGAGAGGACTGACCTGCCTTTGACAGAGAACGTCAGAAGCCCCGTGCCTCAGCAGTGCCGTGCTGTTGTGTATTATGCTGGGCGGGACCAACACCGGCGAAGCCAGGACCTCGAGCTCATCTAGAACTTTGACCCAGTGCGAACGCCAACTCAGTTTAAAACATGTCCTGGGGCCACGGGGGTTGAGAGACAGTTTTCAGGCTGTTTTCCTCTCACTGTGATGCCATTGCCCAAATGTTTGGTCATCCTGTCTCTTAGAGCCACCTCTTAGACTTTTGCTGCATCTGGGAAATGACCTTGCTACCTAAAGGGCCCTGGTGGGGCCGGAAGCCCCCTGCCCTGCCTGGGCAGCGCCCTGTCCCCACCGAGGGGCTCCCGAGAGTGCAGGCAGTCGGCTCCCAGGGTGTCCCTGCCGCTGTCCAGGTCCTCGAGGGCCCGATGGCAGCGGGGCTGCCCCAGGTACTGGGCTTGCTCTCCAGAGGCTGGTACCCAGCGGCCCTCTGCATCTTCTCCGGGCAACAGGGCCTGCCTTTCCACGTCCAAAGTGGGGTTTTTATTATGTGCAGACTGCGAACTGAAGTATCGTCTCACTCGTCATTCTTTCCCAGGAGAGCTTGTGAAATCTTAAGAGATCTCTCCCTTCCTTAGGTTTCAGGAATTGTCTCCTGTTTTTCTCTGAATTTAAAGTTTCACTTTTTACATGTAGCTCGTCAGCATTATCGTTTTGAAGGATTCTGTCTGCTGGGACCTTCTCCATTCTGTGAGACCTTTGACTTCTTTTTTCAGCAGGGCTTTTAAAGTGCTTCTAACTTCAGTCATTGTTAGGATTTTTCATTGTGTTCACCAGGCAAGGCAAGACTAATCTCGCACACGAATGGGGAACTTTTATTTAAAACTTCCTAAAATCTACTTCCTCCATTAAGACGCACATTATGAGAAATTATCGAGGCGGAGTTTTATGTTGAAGGCAATTATGTGAAGCTTTGGGTCGTGGAAGGTGCTCATTTAGCTCTTTCATAAATCTGGCCAGAAGGTGTAATGTTTTTTTGGTTTTTTTTTGCAAGCTGCAATAATGCCTTGGGATTACACTTAGATAATTAAGATGGTTCGTGACCAGCCACTGCCATCGTCAAAATCCACATTCATTTCCGAGCTGGTCCTGATGATATTTTGTGGTTATTCATGAACACACGGTTTTTAAAAACTTTCTTTGGAAATAGTTGTAATTTCACAGAAATGTTACAGAAAGAAAAAAAGAGCAGTGCTGAGAGTCCTCACACACCATCCGCCCAGATTACCCTGCTGACACTTCCTGCCATTTGCACTGTGGTTCCTGCAAGTCTCTGCCCCCCTCCCCTCCCCTCCTCCCAGCCCCGGTGAGGGAGACAAAGACCACCCTCCTCCCACCCTTTAGTTGGAACTTACACTGTGGCCCTTTACTTTAATGTCAATGTATTTTGACTAAGAGCAGGGAAATCTTATGCAATCTTTATGTAACCTCCGCATAAGTAAATTGAACATGGAACATGGATACTTCAGCCTGCTGTGTACACAGTGATTTATCCGTGGACTCAGCAGGCCCCATGGAGCAGTTTCTTCTTCTCCCAGGCCGCGTCCAGCGCAGGCGCTGGGACTGCATTGGGTTGTCCCATCTTTTGAGCCACCTCCCATTTGTTCAGCCTTTTCCTCTGTCTTTGACAACCACGACATTTTCTCTAAGTGGCTTTGGAGACTTCATTTTCATAGCGAAAAACCGGCGGATGCCATAGAGTAAACCGTAAGGCAGTTTCTAGGGATGCTTCTCAAGGCTTATTGAAAGCTCCTCCTGTGAAGAGAGAATGGCCTGTGAGGCTGTCCCCCTGGCAGACAGGCCCCCTCACTGCCCAGGGTCACCACTGTCACTGAGGGTCGAGGGATCGATTTTCAGAAACATTACTGAAAAATCTGAGACAATCGTTTCTTTAGGCAAATATGTGAAACACAATATGACTCTTAATACAAAGGAACAAGAAGTGAATGGGCTTAAGTAACCTCTTCGTTTTATTTTTAGCTTTTTATTGAAGCGGTTTATGTCTATGGGAAAGTATGCGGGTCGTAAATATGTCCGGGCCCAGCAATTTCACAAGAACACAGCCGGGCAGTCAGCATCCAGACCTGTGTGGTCTTCACTCCACATTTCACTCGAAGGGAAGGGGTTTGGGGCGGAAGGTAGTCGTGGCTGCTGAGATAGACTCGGCCGCTCTAAGAAACACAGTCTTTTTTAATAGTCGATGCTGTCACAGGGCACAAAATTCAAAAGGCAAAGGGTCTGTGGGGATATAGGTCTTCCCACCGGTATCTCCAGCCACTGGGTCCCTCTGGTGAGTCAGCTGCCACAGGGCACCCTTAATTGATAGGACTGCATGTGGGTGTGCACATGCGTGTGAGCGATCAGTTGTGTGTGTCTTCCCCCCTCTGACGGAGTGGTAGCACGTACGCTTGGCTGGAACGTATGTTCTGCTGTCGCCCAGCAGGTGTCCCATCGATGTCTCCGTGTCTAGCTGTGTTTGTGTGTGCCCTTCTCACGGTGGCACTATGTGGGGGGTCTCACACCAAGCTGCTCTTCCTCCAAGAGAGACCAGCCATGAGAGAATTGGTCAAGATGGGTGGTCACAAGGGCACGTTCCCAGGAGCCCCCCACCCCCTGAACCAGGCTCTCGGCAGGGGGAGCCCAGTGCCCTGCAGTGTTTATGGGCTTCTCTGGTGAGGTCTTGTGCGTGTTCAGGGAGCCGTCGACGCCGTTCATACTCTTTCAGCATTTCCTGTGGTCCAGTGATGTTTTTGACGGAGACCGAGCTTATGTTTTGGTTACAGCTGGCATCCGCGGTAACCCCTGCACTTGCAGGGCCTTGTCCTGGGGAGCGGAGAGGGCGAGAGAAGAGTTCTGACTTCCGTTTTCTCCAGTACGTCGCTTAGTGCCCAGTGGGCAGTGGACTTGGCACCAGCCCCCTCTTATCACCAGTGTTGGACAGGCTGACGCTTTATACATTTGTTTCCGTTCTTCCCGCCTCGAAGCCGTGCTAATTGCAGTCAGTGAGGAGCCAGATAGACCACAAGTGCCGGGTGACAGTGAATCCTCAGTAAACGACAGCGGAAGTTCTGTTGGATGTGACAACAGAAACAAGTCCTGGCCGGAGATTAAACTGACAAACACTTTAGAGCTAAAACTAAGTGATATCTTCAGCGTATTTTTGTCTCTGCAGTGGATTGTACAGATGTCTTGTGTATGTGGTTTAGTTAGAAATCTTTCTCGAGCCTCAGCTGGGTTTTTTTTTGGGGGGGGGAGGTAGTTGCTTCTGTTAGTTGCCATGAACGATCACTAGAGATCAGCTTACCAGCAGATTTCAATTTGGAAGAAGAAACAGATATTAATGTTTCAAAACAAAATATTAATGACTATTAACACTATTAATTGATAAGCTTCCCTCCTGGAGGCAGAGCTTAATTCCCCTCCCCTTGCCTATGAGCTGGACTTAGTGACTCGTGTTTAATGAATGGAGTAGGGAGTGGAAGAAACATAAACTTTACAGTGTGAAGAGCTGGCAGCACCTCCTCCACAACAGCGATACTAAGTCACGTATGTCATGCGCTGTGGAGTGTGAAGGGGTTGGAAGGGCT